TTCTTTTCTCCTTCTGCAATAAGTTCTGCTTGTAAGGTGTCTTTGGTGGTGACCTGAAGGTCACCACCAAACCGGCGAAGTTTTTTCCAAACTTAAGGCAAGTTTTCCAAAGTTTCAATATTTTTCTATTTTTTTTCTTATGAAACGATAAAGCTATTCATTTCATTATGTATCAACCAAATTTTTTAAATTCGAGTTAAAACTAACGTACATATATGATCGAACCTAACCAACCCTACCTAACCTAACCTAACTTATCTTAACCTAACCTAAAGTAATATAACTAAGTCAGCAATTCATGTTCTTAATATATTATAATAATAATATTTAAAAAAAACTAATTGGAAACAATTTATTGAAAATAAAGAAAATCACTCGGCCTATTAGGCAAATCGAGCCTTGCATAGTAGGCCGAGAAGTGCGTTCTGGCTACTAGTACGACATATATATATATATATATATATATATATATATATATATATATATATATATATATATATATATATATATATATATATATATATATATATATATGTATATATATATATGTCGTACCTAGTAGCCAGAACTCACTTCTCAGCCTACTATTCAAGGCCCGATTTGCCTAATAAGCCAAGTTTTCCTGAATTAATATATTTACTAAAATTTTTTTCTTATGAAATGATAAAGCAACCCTTTTCTCTATGTATGAGGTCAATTTTTTTTTATTGGAGTTAAATTAACGTAGATATATGACCGAACCTAACCAACCCTACCTAACCTAACCTAACCTATATTTATAGGTAAGGTTAGGTTAGGTAGCCAAAAAAGCTAGGTTAGGTTAGGTTAGGTAGGTTAGGTAGACGAAAAAACATTAATTCATGAAAACTTGGCTCATTAGGCAAATCGGGCCTTGAATAGTAGGCTGAGAAGTGCGTTCTGGCTATTAGGTACGAATATATATATATATATATATATATATATATATATATATATATATATATATATATATATATATATTGGTGTATACTGGCAGCAGGTTTTCTTTCAAACATGTTTCATTGAATATGACCGCATATTCTGTATTTATTATTTTCTGGTTTAGGGCTTCTATCCCTCTAACTATTTTCTTAGCATCAGGGCTTAATTGGAATAGGAGTTCTCCAAAACTCATTTTCGTACTTTTAAGGTGAAGAAAAGAAGTGATTTACTATAGAGTGTATTACACTTATTTGTATAATTTGCACGACGTTTCGAACCTCCATGGTTCATTCTCAAGTGAACAGATCTTACAATACTAGTTGATTTTATACCCGCATTAGGTCAGGTGATAATACAATGAAGGTGAAAAACATGGGGGGATACATAAGGGATAAACATAGGGGCTGCAGAAGGCTTATTGGCCCATACGAGGCATCTCCTATCTAAACACAAAGATTAATCCAGTGTAATTGGCCTGTTATGTTGGACATTGTCTTCTGTGTTGGCATCGATATGTTCTTGTCTTGTCCTTACTCTCATGGTGGGTAGAGTAAATAGTTCCGTGATTTGGGTGTTCATGGTAGGTCGCTCTATTCTTATGTGAATTGCCTCAAGAATTTGTAATCTTCTTGAATCTTGGGTTTTGTCTATTATGCAAGTATTCTTGTTCAACATTTCTCTTGTTAGAGTAATGTCATGGGCTTGTCTCATGTGATTCCTAGGGGCACCAGATTGAAGATGGCATGTCAAACGCCTCGTCAGCTTGGTCGACGTCAAACCTATGTACTTACATTGAAGGTTACATCCTTCGTGGGGGCAAGTGTACATGTATACAACGCTTGACTGCTGTAGAGGGTTCTCCGTCGGCTTCGGGCTGTTTTTGATAAGGAATTCGGAAGTCTTCTTGGTTTTGTAGAATATTATCAGGTTTATGTTTTGGTTAGGAGTAGTGCTTTTTACTCTTTTACGGAGTAAAGGAGGAAAAAGAAAGAAATAATCCGTAAAGGAGTAAAAAGCACTACTCCTAACCAAAACATAAACCTGATAATATTCTACAAAACCAAGAAGACTTCCGAACTCCTTATCAAAAACAGCCCGAAGCCGACGGAGAACCCTCTACAGCAGTCAAGCGTTGTATACATGTACACTTGCCCCCACGAAGGATGTAACCTTCAATGTAAGTACATAGGTATGACGTCGACCAAGCTGACGAGGCGTTTGACATGCCATCTTCAATCTGGTGCCCCTAGGAATCACATGAGACAAGCCCATGACATTACTCTAACAAGAGAAATGTTGAACAAGAATACTTGCATAATAGACAAAACCCAAGATTCAAGAAGATTACAAATTCTTGAGGCAATTCACATAAGAATAGAGCGACCTACCATGAACACCCAAATCACGGAACTATTTACTCTACCCACCATGAGAGTAAGGACAAGACAAGAACATATCGATGCCAACACAGAAGACAATGTCCAACATAACAGGCCAATTACACTGGATTAATCTTTGTGTTTAGATAGGAGATGCCTCGTATGGGCCAATAAGCCTTCTGCAGCCCCTATGTTTATCCCTTATGTATCCCCCCATGTTTTTCACCTTCATTGTATTATCACCTGACCTAATGCGGGTATAAAATCAACTAGTATTGTAAGATCTGTTCACTTGAGAATGAACCATGGAGGTTCGAAACGTCGTGCAAATTATACAAATAAGTGTAATACACTCTATAGTAAATCACTTCTTTTCTTCACCTTAAAAGTACGAAAATGAGTTTTGGAGAACTCCTATTCCAATTAAGCCCTGATGCTAAGAAAATAGTTAGAGGGATAGAAGCCCTAAACCAGAAAATAATAAATACAGAATATGCGGTCATATTCAATGAAACATATATATATATATATATATATATATATATATATATATATATATATATATATATATATATATATATATATATATATATATATATATATATATATATATATATATATATATATATATATATATATATATATATATATATATATATATATATATATATATATATATATATATATATATATATATATATATATATATATATATATATATATATATATATATATATATATATATATATATATATATATAACTTGAAGTAGGGAAGAGCAGGCTCAATCTCTCTAGAAAGAGATTATCGTCACAATATATATATATATATATATATATATATATATATATATATATATATATATATATATATATATATATATATATATATATATATATATATATATATATATATATATATATATATATATATATATATATATATATATATATATATATATATATATATATATATATATATATATATATATTGTGACGATAATCTCTTTCTAGAGAGATTGAGCCTGCTCTTCCCTACTTCAAGTTACGCCAAAGATACAAGTATAAGATGCTACATTCAAGATACGTCACCGGTAGCACAAAACGTTTTGACCAGGAGGCAAAACGTATCCAAGATACCCCCACTCCACACACCCTCCACACGCCGGCTCGTCATCAAACCAGCTAACTACCCTTCACCAGCTTGCCTGCCCTTGATTGGTGAATCGCCAGCCGCGCACCTGCACACCGCACCTCGGCGCCCTCTACCCGAGTCAACGTCTGAGCGTGACCAGCTATCAACTTCAGAATATTCCTTGTGCTCTTAGCGTTGACACCTCTCTCTGGCATACTAGCTCATTAGCTCGTATACGAAGGGAGGTTTCAGCCATAGCCGATACTCTCAGCACCATTTTTTACATTATTTAATCTATTGTGTTTTTTGTATTTATCTTTGTCATTTTATTTCATTAGTCATTTGCCCGAGATTTGTCTTTATTTTCATTTATGTTTAAAGTAAATATATTAAAGTTTCATTGTTCATACTTTGTGTTTTACGTGTTCCTCCGTCTCACTTACCACAGACAACAGGCAAGCAGTCTATATTTTTGTTTTAAGTGTGACCAGGCTTTGACACCTGCCATTGGAGGACTGCCGAACATCAACACTCCAACACTTTCCCGTCACAATATATATATATATATATATATATATATATATATATATAATATATCGTACCTAGTAGCCAGAACGCACTTCTCAGCCTACTATGCAAGGCCCGATTTGCCTAATAAGCCAAGTTTTCATGAATTAATGTTTTTTTCGACTACCTAACCTAACTTTTTCGGCTACCTAACCTATAGAGATAGGTTAGGTTAGGTAGGGTTGGTTAGGTTCGGTCATATATCTACGTTAATTTTAACTCCAATAAAAAAAAAAAATTTACCTCATACATAATGAAATGGGTAGCTTTATCATTTCATAAGAAAAAAATAGAGAAAATATATTAATTCAGGAAAACTTGCCTTATTACGCAAATCGGGCCTTGCATAGTAGGCCGAGTACGACGTTCTGGCTACTAGGTACAACATATGTAATATATAATATATAAATATATATATATATATATATATATATATATATATATATATATATATATATATATATATATATATATATATATATATATATATATATATATATATATATATATATATATATATATAATATATAATGAGAATGAGAGAGAGAGAAAATTTAATTCATCTAGTGGTGTTTGATAATATAATTTGAAATCTAGATTGCAGCAGACTCTGGTTTGAGTTCCACCGGCAGTTTTGTCGATGTTTAATTGTTATTAATAAGCTGTTGTTTAATTTTAATTCTTGTATAAATACCTACCCAGGTGTTATAAATACCTTCCCAGGTTGTATAAAAAACCTGGGAAACCAACTACCTACCCTAGTTGTATAAACATCTGCCATAGATATATATATGAACCTCCCCTAGTTGTGTAAATACCTCCCCTAGTTGGGTAAACACCTACCCAGGATGTATATACACTTACCCTAGGTGTATAAACACCTACCCAAGTTGTGTAAGCACCTACCAGATTTCAATAAAAGTCTACCAAATGAATATAAACAGCATATATGAGTACCTACCGTAGAATAACTCCACCCGAGGTAGCAGTTGGCGCCACAGCTTCAACCTCCGCACCACCTCGTCAACATCTAAGATGTAGAAGGCTTCCTCTCGACCCTGCCTCAGGAAAATATTGAGTTAGCAACTATAATATATTTTTGCACCTGTGACACAAACATTCATGCAAAGCCAAACACTCTTCAGTGACTATTGGCGCTTTGAGGCTCTATTTCCAAGATGAAAATCACAGATGCAGGAATCGGAGAAATTCCTGGACCAAGCAGTTAGAGCCCTTTTTGATCATAATGGAAGAAGTAATTATCAAAAGAATGGACCAAGCCGGGAATACTATGTAGCACCATCAAAGTCGCGGAATATTCAAAAGGTAATAAATATTATTAAGGATGCAAATACAAGAACAAAATCGCATGAGGCAAACAACAACAAAGGTATCTGATTCAACATGGAGTCTATCGAGGATCAGGTGACCGCCAGGGACAGTTGGGAAGCAAGACATAGGTACACCCTGAAAGTCAGGACATTCAACAATATGCACGACCGTAAGAGGTATAATGCAGGTTTGACAATAAAGTGCAGGGCGGTGCTCTATTAGGTGCCCGTGAATTAAATGGGTATGGCCAATACGTAACCTTGCCAGAGCCGTTTCCCACCGCCGGTTATGGTGGTGGGAGGAAGGTCATGGGGGACACGATATTGCGATATAAGAGCACGCAATTTATTACCAGTAATTGAAAACCAATAACCCTGCCAACGGGCATGGCTCGAGGGATGAATGACAGAGTAGTAATCGGAATATGGAACGCCTTTTCGGGAACAAGACAAGTGTGGATAGCCTCCTTAGCAGCAATGTCCACACGCTCATTTAAGGAAATACCAATATGGCTGGGAACCTAGCAAAACGCAACCTGGTTAAATCTGCTAGAAATAAGAAACGGATAAGAGCCTGCAAGAGTCAACCACTATGAAAAAATAGCACTGACGACGGAAAAGCAATCGACGAAGAGCATACAAGATCGCATAGAGTTCAGCTGTGAAGATTCACACCTCTGGAAGGAGACGGCACATATAAGTTTGGTCTTGAAAGATAACAGAGTATCCAACAACGTCGGCAGACTTGGACTCATCCGGGAAGAGGGCAACAGAATGGGAATGTGAAGAAAAATTTTAACCAAAAGGCGTTTCAGAACAAGAGAGGTAGAAGCCTTCATCACATGGGTCAAAGACTTGCAAAACTTCACAAGTGAGATCCGCCAAGGAGGTAAGGATGGAACGACACGAGGAGAGACATTGTCAACACAAACTGAAAGGGAGGCTTATAAGGGAGATATGTCAACAGAAAACTAAAGGTGGTGAAAGAGAAGAAGGCCCACTGGTGGGAACAACAGTCGAAGCACAGCAAAAGCGAGAATGAGGATGTTGAAGAGACCTCGCGAGGTAATGAAGGCAGTAACGATCTCGACGATCCTGGTGCGACAAGACGTTCATTTCAACATTCAGTACAAGCTCTGGATAGGAGACAAACGAAAGGCACCAGAGCTGAGGCGCAACCCAGCGCGGTGCAGAGCATTAAGACGGTGAAGGACCGAAGGAGAGGCACCTTAGCCTCTCCCGGATTATTTCTTTATTGTTTCTTTTCTTTTTTCTTCAACAATCAAAGGTTGTGTCATCAGCAAATATAATTGGTTTGAGGTGTTGAGAGGCATTTGGAAGGTCATTAATGTAGATGAGAAAGGAAAGGGCCAAGTATGCTGCCCTGAGGAACACCAATGTTGATGGGTCGGGTGGGAGAAATTGTATTATTCACACAAACATACTGGAGCCTGTCAGTAAGGTAAGACTGAAGGTATTGCAGGGAGTGTCCTCTGACTCCATAATGATGTAATTAAAGAAGGTGGTTATGGTGGTTAATATTGTCAAAAGCCTTACATAGGTTTATAAATAACCAAACAGGGACCTCATTTTTATCTAGAGCTGCATGTATCAAGTTAATCATACTAATCAGTGCATCATTGGCACTTTTTTGGGGGTCTGAAGCCATATTGGCAAGAGCTAAGAACATTGTGTTTGGCTAGATAAGAGTAAGCTATTTGTAGATTAGCTTCTCTATTATTTTAGACAAGGTTGGCAGGATTCATATAGGTCTGAAACTGATGACATCAGTGATATCACTACGTTTTGGACTGAGGTTACTCATGCTTTTTTCTTTTTCAGATAATTAGGAAAGATTTGGAGTTCAAGTGATTTGTTGTAGAGGTAGAACTCTAGAGTTTTTGTAAATTAGAGTTGGTATCTCAGCAAGGGCATCTGACTTTGTTTTAAGAAAAAGGATTATCACATTAACATCAGAGGAATTATTGAGAGTTAGGTATAGAGACTCTGGATAGTTTTCTGTAATATAGTCCTAAACAATAGTTATGCAAGATGGGATATCATTTGCAAGGGATGTGCTAATGGACGAGAAGAAACTATTGAATTTAATGGAGGTGTCAGAGGCAGAAAGCACACCATTGTCATTGGATAGGAGAATTAATTTGTTTTTCAAGATCTTCTTTGATCTTAATATTTGAGAAATAGTGTGCCATGTTTTCGTTATGTTGCCCTTAATTTGATTGAATTGATTTTCATAGTATTTAATTTTGGCTCTCCTAATTATTTTGGACAGTATTGATGAGTACCTCCTTGAAACTTGTTTGGAGATGACCACTCATCTATACTTCTTCTCATGATCATGGTTTTTATTGACAGATTTAAGTATTCCCTTTGTTAGCCATGGATTGTTTAGTTTTTTAGTTGTGACTTGTTTCGGTAGCATAGGACAGTGGGTGTTATAGAGGCTCAGAGTTTTGTAAAAAAAAAATATTGCACTGTTAGATTGGTTTTCACTATATCATCTAATTCAGTCTCCCAGTTGATATTAGCAGCAGCAGCAATAAAGTTGCTTATAGAAGTTTCATTGTGCAGCCTAAAACGTATCTTCGTTGTATCTAAAGGTGGTTTGTTAATGTTTTTTAGAAGAAATGCGGGATAATGGTCTGTGGACCCATCAGTGAATATTTCTAAAGTAAGTGGAGAGGTCATGTTAGTCCAGATGTGGTTAAGAGTTGATACAGTCGTTTCAGTAATTCTAGTAGGTTTAGTGATTAAGGGTATGAGCAAGCAGGGTATTCATACAGTTGAGGAAACTAGCAACTTGAGGATTATAAGGCTCGCAGAGGTCAATATTAAAATACCCTGAAATTATTAGTTGGTTTTTGTTAAGTCTGTTAGCTAGTATTAGATTTCTAAGGTTAGAGTTGAATTCAGACACAACAGTGTCAGGAATTTTGTAAACTGCTCCCACAGTCAGAACAGCCTCGCCACCCTTGACTCTGAAACATACAAAGATATATTCTCCACAGGAAGCTCTAGTTCTAATTACTTTCAAGCATGTCAGTTCTTGGTGGTAGTAAAGAGCTGTACCACCACCTCTCTGAATTGGTCGACAGTTGTGAATTGTCGAGTAGTTTGGTATGTTAAAGAGTTGTGTTGTATCCTCTTTCAACCCCGTTTCAGTAAGTATAATAAAGAAAAATTTGTTGCCAACTGTTTGAATCAGGGCGCTAACATCATCAAAGTGTTTGCTTAGAGATCTTACATTCAAGTTAATTACAGATACATTGTGATAATGTGTTAATACATTGTTTACATCGTTTGCTATATAATACCTGCAATTTTGATCGTTTAACAGATGATTATCATAGATACTTGATAAGAGGTTTAGTTTTGGGTCTATACTAGGATGCATAAATAGGCTGTTTGAATGTAAAATGGCAAGGGTACAATTAAAGATGCAATGTAATGAGAAAAAATAAATTAAAACAAATTTCAGTAGAATAATGAGATTAGGAGCATTTACAACAGGAAATCCAGATATAAAATCTATAGCAAAAAATGCACAAACAAAATAGAAACAAGTAAAAATTAAATAAAAAATCAATGTAATTAGAGAAGTAGAATGCAGTTGACAAGTAAAAATAAGGATTCTATAAAGATTGACTATGTTAAGAATAAGAAACTTTGTAAAATTAAAAAAAAATGACACTGTAATAAATGAGGTGGATTACTTAAAGATACAATCAGGGACACTGAATTTTTTTTACAATACAGGTGCAGGCATAGCCAAAATACAGTGGAACTGGGGAGTATGGAGAGGTTTGGTAGTCTAGGTAACAATGAAACCAAGGATACCTACTCTGCACTAGGTCACTAGGGCAACCTAGTGGAAGGTGCGGCACTGATAGGGTCAGTGAGGTCAGATAAACCACTTTGGGAGAGGAATTTACTGAGGTTATCCTCATTTGATGTCACAAAGGTTTTTCCTGTAGGAGTTTTCCTTACTTTTAGTACGTTATCTTAAACATAGCACTGATGGATCACTTCTTGCATTTGTTTACGGATTTCCCACATACTGTAGAGGAGTTCCTGCCTTGTTCTGGTCAGACACTCGTTGATGTACACTCCCTTGTTAGTCTTGGTCAGGCACTCGTTGATGTACACTCCCTTGTTAGTCTTGGTCAGGCACTCGTTGATGTACACCCCCCTTGTTAGAGTCCTGGTCAGGCACTCGTTGATGTACACCCCCTTGTTAGTCCTGGTCAGGCACTCGTTGATGTACACCCCCCTTGTTAGAGTCCTGGTCAGGCACTCGTTGATGTACACCCCCTTGTTAGTCCTGGTCAGGCACTCGTTGATGTACACTCCCTTGTTAGTCTTGGTCAGGCACTCGTTGATGTACACTCCCTTGTTAGTCTTGGTCAGGCACTCGTTGATGTACACCCCTTGTTAGTGTACTGGTCAGGGACTCGTTGATGTACACCCCTTGTTAGAGTACTGGTCAGGCACTCGTTGATGTACACCCCTTGTTAGAGTACTGGTCAGGCACTCGTTGATGTACACCCCCTTGTTAGTGTACTGGTCAGGCACTCGTTGATGTACACCCCTTGTTAGTGTTCTGGTCAGGCACTCGTTGATGTACACCCCCTTGTTAGTGTACTGGTCAGGCACTCGTTGATGTACACCCCTTGTTAGTGTTCTGGTCAGGCACTCGTTGATGTACA